CAAATGATGGTTAATTATAGAGCGCTATTTGTATGTCTGTTTTCTGTACAAATGATGGTTAATTATAGAGCGCTATTTGTATATCTGTTATCTGTACAAATGATGGTTAATTATAGACCGCTATTTGTATGTCTGTTTTCTGTACAAATGATGGTTAATCACAGAGCGTTATTAGTACGTCTGATATCTTTTATCGTTCTACTTCATTGTATGTTATACTGGTTCGTGCCATTTGCCAATGACCAAAGTTCATTTAACGGAAATTAAAGTCAAACGAAACTAGAATGAAAGCTTGGTGAGCGTTCTTCCTTAGTATCGGATCATCAACAACGAACTATTTTAAAACAACGATGGGGAACGTTGGATGATTGGATTTTTAATGAAACTTATTTTCGGAGCATAATTCGCGACAAAATCATATACAATTCTATGCATCTTTTTTCGTATCGTAAATACGGTTAGCCACTTAAATATGAACAGATTAAACATATGTAGTGCCCCAACTTATCAACGCCTTTTCCTCTAATACAGTGCATACTGATATATACGTGATAGCATTTGACAAGGCTTACATAATTCATTTATTTTACAATCATCATATTTTACTTAAAATTAAACTTATTGCTGGTTTTGATGAAAAAGTTGCATGTGTCTGAATACTTCTTTATTGTATCTGCGTAAAGATTTTCATTATCAGATAATAGCAAACCTAAGTTAACTGGATGCATAGTCAACGGGCTTACGTTTTGAAATAGTGTAGTTCGTGTTGAAATGACGAGCATCCTCACAGGAGTGGCCACAAAAACCTGCTGGATTATTCCGATCACGTTATTGCCTGTAATCATTAGGTGACATATCAAGGTAGGTGTCTACACTATCTTACCTACTCTATATATAGTGTGTGTGTGTGCTATATAGTATGTATTTAAAAAGAAACAATATTCCATCTGATGTGCTGAAATGCAATGTTTTATCGTATGTGCATACATATTGACATATTTCATTATAATAAGTTCATAAATTAGGATAATGAATTGTTTATATATTGTTTTTAATTAACATATATTTTAATACGAAACAAAATAGTTCAGTCATCCTACCGGAACAATGACAATACATTAAAATAATTGGAAAAGGATTTATTTTTTGTATTCCTCAATATTATTTTTAAAAGTCTGCAAAAATCAACATTGAGGGAAATGTTCTTTGCTTTCTTTGGGAGCAAGAAAATTAAGGAAATAACATACTTTACCAAACTTAAAGTGTAGTACCCAACGTTTGGGTAACAATATTGAGTATAGAATATCAAAATTGGCAAGACCAACCGTAGATTTTCCATAAAATTGCATCAAAACAATTGCATTAAAAACATTTATTAATCAATATGGCTTAAATGCATTTCGGATCCTTTTCCATCTGTGTTTTCATTTATGCATATGTATTTTGCTCAAATGGAAAGTAATAAAGTTGATACTAAATGCATTCTGAAGATGAGGATATTGGTATTTCTTGCCTTTTTAAACATGGAAAATTGTATTAGTTAGTCTTGGTGACAATATTGGATTAGGACCAAACTTTATATCTGATATCACTTATCTATAATTTCACCTAACTGAAGTGTCTGTTACACACCTTTATAGTTGACAAGGAGGGTTGGAGCTATTCTCCGAATTGAACTATCTAAAAATTGAACGATATGTCTATTTATGTAACTTGCATTTTGAAATCGCACAGGCAAAGGCATTTTATAACCTGTTTGCATGTACTACTTATGGAATTAATTCCTTTTTGTGATTTGATTTAAACATATTTTATTGCAAATAAATATTTACAAAAGAATTGGACACAAGTTTTACCAACTTATCAAAGTCCTTTTCTTCAAATACATGAGTATAAACAATAACTTGATAAGGTTATTTACGCAATATACATTAATTATGTTTTTATATGGAAATGGAAAATAGAGACGAAGAAAAGAAGGAGAGCGAAACGAAGTAAAGGATAGTAACACAGATAGAGTAGATGAAAAATAGAGTGGAAGAAAAGACGGATAGAGTAATGAAGTAAATGATAGTAACACAGGTAGAGTCGGAGAAAAAAAAGAGTGATAGAGAGAGAAAGATGATCACATTCAGTCAAACCTGTTGCATTTGCTGATATAATTTTGGACAGATTTTGCAATTGAGGTATTTACATTAATGCTGAATTTAGGATCGCCATATAGGAGCAAGTCTAAAGTTAAATCATCACGAACAGGTTGAAGCTCTCTTATTAATAGATTACGATGCTGGGTGTATAAGGGACAGACACAAAGGAAGTGATAAGAGTCTTCACATGGATTACCGCATGCACATTCAGCTGTATTTGATAAATTTGCTCTAAATAGGTCATAGTTAAGGGAGCTCGCACGATTTCTCAAACGGCAATGAAGTATATTTGATTTACGGGAACCCCATACCAGAAAGCATTTATTTTGTGGTTTACCTTTTGATTTTATATTTGATTTAAATGAACTGAGAGAAGCCGAATTCCTTATAGATATATCTAGGTCATTCCACATTTTTGTAGTTGATGGGAAAAAAGAATTGCGCATTGTTTCAAGCCTAAAGTTTGGTTGTCTTAAATGTTGGGAATTTCTTAGGTTATAACGAGAAATATCCCCAATGCTATCTGGTAAGGTGTCACACAAATAATTAGGAGCTGTACCGTTTTTAATTGTAAAGAATAGGGACAATTTTCTGTTTTTCCTTCTATTACTTAGTGGAACCCAGCCAATTTCATTAAATATATGTTCAATTTTTGTGTAAATAGGTAGTCCTGTAACAATTCGTGCAGCATCTATCTGAATATTTTCAAGTTTTGATGAATTTGTCATTCCACAATTGTCCCAGACTTCACATGTGGTAAGGTTTATTGACAAAAGTGGCAATCTACCTTATTCTTGTATGGAGAAAACCTAGCCTCGTGCACTTTGTACTGAACAGTGGTGAAAAGGCAAAGCGAAGTAGTGTGAATGGTAAAATCTACTGTCTGTTTGCATAGGTTTTGTCCGTTTACTAATTGATTTATCAGAAAAACATTCATAAAATGGCTGTTTTCAAACCATAAATTAGAAGTTTTATCAACAAATTATATTGAAAATTCTAAACCCCACTTACTCCCGTGTTATAAGAGGAGAGAAAATGTTTGCAAAAGAATATTTAATCATTTTCATTATCCTTATTGTAAACGGTCATGATATGACGGGTTATACTTTACAACTGCCAAAATATTTAGTTGTTGGACAAAAAACGAAAGTAGACCCACAAGGATGATCACTTATTTGAAGACATCATAATAGAAATATCCATTAGTTTATCAATTACATAAAACGAGGAGAACTGAAAACTCCTCTAAGCATTCATTTTTAAATATAAGTTGCATGTGTGGGCATATCGTTTAATTTGGACATAAAAATAGTTCTAAATCAGCCCTCTAGCCAACTTTGAAGCAACATTAATCACGTATCAAACTTAAATACAGACACTATTTATAAACATATACTATATATAAACCAATTAGTCATACACGTAAATGGCTATACCGATTGACTTGTATCATTTTTCTTTTTAGAAAGTAACAAAAGCAGATATTTTAAACTTTATTGTGTGTTTGGCCTTATTGATAGTATAATATTGTTTTCAATGAAATCAATCCAATGTATCGTTGTTGCAAATTTATATTGAAATCAAGTTATTCTTGCTAAAATTTTGATAGCCTGATATCATGTATTCAATGTGACACAAACCGTAGATATACCACTTAAATGTGATTTCCTTCGTATTCTTAATCCCAAAGAGAGTCAAAAGACATTTATCGAAAAGGTTGTGTTTGTCTGATGTTGTAATTTCGATACTTGTCATTGAAAAATTCTATTCTATTACAATTAGTTTGGTATTAAGCTGTAGATTAAGGTAACTGTTCTAAATAAAAGTCAATATAATCTCGAGTCGTTAAATATCACTTTGAACTGTTTAAAACGTGTTGTATATAGTACCTTACAAAACAACTTATGCAGTATTTCCTGTTATTGTTGAGTAATATAAACATTTAAGTTTCATTTTTGAACGACCTAGCTGGGCAGAGACAGCCATAGGCAAGTCAAAACTTTTATTAAGAGGAAACTTCAATCTACTGGCCCAAAATGTATTTATCTGGCCGAAATGTTAAAATGTATGAAAAAAATAAAGACAAAAAAAAGACAAAAGGTAAGCATATACCCTATTGATATCATACAATTCAGGCCAATAACAGTCGTCTTGTAGGGGTACTAGTGATCCTTATATCCAGTGACTGTGTGTTTTATACAATGTAGTTCTATAGTTTTATGTTGTAATTGTTGTGTATTATTTAAATTTAAGTGTCCTTGGCTAGAAAGTTTCAGACTTATTCTTTTCTTCATCAATCAGTATCACCTGGATATACAACTAGAAGAAGTTATATGCAGTGTCTTTAATTTCGGATAGATAAGTGAAATTTACAAATTGAAAAGTCGAAATTAAGAAAGAGAGAAAGAAAGAAAGATTGAGGACTGAGAGAGATATTGAGGACTGAGAGAGAGATTGAGGACCCCGATCAGCTGGTCTGTATAAATACGTGCAGGTTGTGTGCAATAGTGCAGGTGCATGTATCTACCATCACCCTGTACCATTTACAGTTACATTTACATTGTACACGTCGTAGTTACCAATACTGGCATGACACGCGTTTTCTTCTCATGTAACGGTCATTCAGTTAGTATATTCCGTACTGACCAATGATGACGAATGTCACTGGAGTTCAATACTTGTAAGAGGGACACTAACACGATCGTAACAACATGTAAAATAATAAGAGAGTATTACGTGAACATGTTCTGTACTTTTATGTATACATTAATACAACATGCAACGAATTACACACAAGATATGCTCGTTGGTTATTAACACACGTATAAATGTAGATAAATGAAGACGACTTACCTGACCATTGACGAACGTGGACACTTGGTTAAAATGAAACCATGTCCCACTCACAGTCAATACCGTGCCTCTAACTGGCCTAGATTTTCATTCTGTTTACAAGAATAAACATTTAGCGCCTGCGCAGTACGCGTTGACTGGTTAGGTCAATGCCCGTTCATGAACTCCAGCGGTGGCAGAGTGAATATCCTCGTGTGACCTATACAGGTCGCGATACGTAGACAGAGCGCAAAATTTCAAATATATCTAGATTACATGTAGTTACTACATGTATTTATACAAGTTAGGGTAAGCCAAGCGAAGAAGAGATAAAATGTATGTGACTTTCGCGTATTATTTCAAGTAAGCGCCGATCGATAATTGAGGAAGTTTTTTATTTCCGAAGACACATACTAAATGATTTTAATATTTCCCTTTACTTTATTTTTACAGAGCAGCCAAATAGCATGGTAGGTACGGGGCAACCAGGTATCTACTCCGTAAGCTACTGTTTCTTTTAAAACATTACAATCTTACACTGTAAATAGTTTATTATTCTCTTACCCTGGTTATTATATTAATTTAATAAAGGATAATTCCAAATATTTGATACCTTAGTGCTTAATAATACTTCAACAAATGCCGGCTCATTTGCTCATTCTATTACTCTCCGAGCTACTTAAAGTCTGTAGTGTGTCAGTTTGGGGTACAATTATTATCTTAGCATATTGATATATTGACGTGCTTTTATGTGTTTACTCACTGTATATTGCGCTTCCTACTTGGTTCAGCGTTTGTGTTTCTATATTTAACCATACGGCGACCTCTAATAAAATATATTTGACTTGATTTGTGTTCAATGATATGAGATTAAGTGCTTTTTAAGTAGATATTTACCGTGACAAAGGAACAGTTTTGACTTAGGATGGGGCACTATTTGTCACTGCCAACCAGAGTGAAACGAGAATTTGTTTTCTGAATTCAAGTGAACCTCTGAGTTGAGCAAGGAGACATATTCTTTTTAAAGTTTTAAAAAAAATATATAAATATGGGTCAGTTATTTTTTCGGTAATGTTTGTGACTTGAAAAAGAATAATTCGATCCCCAAAGAGAGGATTCGGGAGTTAATATTGACATGCACAACTCGTTGAACTTAGTATTGTGTTAGTCAATTGATTTTAATCTTCAATTAATTGTAACTGATTTATTTTTTTAAATCACAATGGTAGATATCTTAATCGTAAAACAAAGAAAACATAAGAAAATCTAACTAGCAGATGGGTTTTTTGTCCCATTTTGGGATTATGAAGTTATTGACCGTCATATGTTTGACAAACGTTCATTGGTATTACCAACCTCTTGTGTAAAATTGAGTATTGTAAATTATATATCTTAAGCTAGATAAAGTTAACTGAAACAGATTTGCACAGAATCTCAATTTGTTTGAAATATAGAGCTATCAATATATAAGTACATCTGAAAAAAGCAGTCATCTACCATATTTCAGTCAATTATTCACAGACAAATAGATATAATATGCATGTAATTCCATACATAACAAACGTTTCTGTCCAAATTAAATTGTGTGCATATATATGCAATTTGCATTTTAAAAATAGACCGAATAAAATTAACACGAGCAAAGTGTCAAACTTGTTAAGTTCCTTTCCGTGCATGCGACAATTAAAATAAAAGTCATCAACTCATTTTCGTACGTACAACGCTAACGAGAAAAGGCCAAATGTCTTTGTTTCCGTGCTTACATAATACATACATCAACCAGAAATGTCATTATATGTATACCATATTCCGTACGTAAATCACCAACCAGAAATGTAATTATATGTATACCATATTCCGTACGTATAACACCAACCAGAAATGTCATTATATGTATACCATATTCCGTACGTAAATTACCAACATCATTATATGTATACAATATTCCGTACGTAAATCACCAACCAGAAATGTCATTATATGTATACCATATTCCGTACGTAAATCACCAACACGAAATGTCATTATATGTATACCATATTCCGTACGTAAAACACCAACCAGAAATGTCATTATATGTATACCATATTCCGTACGTAAATTCCCAACATCATTATATGTATACAGTATTCCGTACGTAAATCACCAGCCAGAAATGTCATTATATGTATGCCATATTCCGTACGTAAATTACCAACATCATTATATGTATACAGTATTCCGTACGTAAATCACTAACCAGAAATGTCATTATATATATACCATATTCCGTAAGTAAATCACCAACCAGAAATGTAATTATATGTATACCATGTTCCGTACGTAAAACACCAACAAGAAATGTCATTATATGTATCCCATATTCCGTACGTAAATCACCAACCAGAAATGTCATTATATGTCATTATATGTATACCATATTCCGTACGTAAATCACCAACCAAAATCCACAAACTAGTTTGTTTTTGTTTTGGATTAGTTTGTCTATTGTGTTACGATATAATAGCATATTAGATATTATACAATGCACAAATGGTTGCTATAAGTGCTGTTGTTATACTTACAAATTAAACATGATTTAATACACAAATGGTTGTTATATTTTGTTGATATACTTACGTGTTAAACATGATAATAAACAAATGGTTGTTTTATTTTGTTGTTTTACTTCTTGAATAGGATATAATATACAAATGGCTGCTATTATTGTTGTTGGTACACTTACGTGTTCAACACGATACAAACAAACAATAACTATACCAGTGACAGTGATACTTATATATTGAACATTATGTAATTTAAGCTTTTAGTCAAATTAAGACATGAGGTTGAACATCAACTTGACGCATTAAAGATATTTCAGAAATATCATGCTTTTTAAACAAAGCTTTTGCAGTTGAAATGAGCAATATTTCTTCTTTCATTGATAAAACTTACACATGTATGCTTGCTTGCTGAATAAATTGATTTTTTTTCGAAAAGTATACAAACATTCCTGATACTCTTTATCAATTTTAATTGTGTAATAATAATGGTAACATAAAACATTGCAATAATTTATAGTGGTGACGTAAAATACATCTATAGAACAAATAATAATAAGATATGATACGAGTTGTGTGAAGTGTTTGAACTAGCGAAGCCTATGTAAACTAACCTCGCCCTGAACTTGATGTGTCGGAAACGACGGCTCCCTGGGAAATATATAGAATATTTATATCTGGCCATCGGTCACACCGGTAAACAGTACTTTACCGGGGTGAGGTGTTGGCCAGTGGCTCGCTAGATCCTTTCTTAAAAGCATTATTTTGTTGACAGATATACGAGATGTTTCCGAGATAGGGCTGTTATTTACGTTCAATTAGAGTCAAATTATATAAGAATACCAGTGAAGTTATATTGTGTGTGTCAGGTCCCCATAGCAACTTAACAAATAACGAATCGAAAATGCAAAACAACACAATTAGCCATATTTTGTTTTCATTTTGTTTTGTTTCCGTTATGATTTCGTCTCCGGAATATCTTATCAGTAAAAATAACCAGAATTGATAATATTCAATAGCTAGATACCGATAACATATTTCTGTCAAAACGAAATCCTTATGATCAATTAGTCAGCACAGTGTAACATATGTCTCTGTTCTACATAAATATCGTTAAAGCAGGGACATTATTCGTTAACAGCTTTTTATTCGTTACAAGGCTACCAACTTGTACGGTAGGTGTTCCTGCACGAAGAGGAAATCCACATTATTGACTACGGAAGGGGGGTTCGTGACTATTATTCTCACTCTATTAAAATGAATGTTAAACCACCTAGACCTGCATTTACGGCTGATAGTTTGGCGTCAAAAAGAAACCACAATAAAACAATTGAAAACCGAATATGAATAACTTACACAATATGTTGTACGTTTATATAAAAATCAGCCGTGGGGATATTACCTACAAAGATATACATACATTGATCCATTGTGCGAGCGGCAACTTACTTTCTTGTGTTTTAATGTGGGACGAAAATCCTTAAGGAGACGAAACAGAAACGGAAAGAAACTAAATGATAACAAAGCGAGATATTGTTGTTGTTTGTTTGGGTTTTGTTTTTTTTTTCATTTGTTGAATTTAAGGGATCCTTACTTGTCGACTGTATCAGACGATAAGTAACACACGACGCTTAGTCACAACATATATTGTTACTTCCCTAGTTCATGTGTTCATTAGCAATACTTAAATCTAGTTGATACGATTGCTGATAACATAGTTATTGGCGATAAAGATGAAGATCTATATATAAAAGACTACCTTCGGCAAAACACGAGTAGATGACAGTTACTCGCCGTTTGTTTAAACTTTGTTTTATTCACATAACATATGTATATGTAATACATAATACCAAAATGATTATACATAAATGAATTGGAGACAGAAACAAGTGTAAATACACTTATATAAATCTGTTACCTTTCATCATAACCAACATTATCAACTATAGCTTTGGGATAATGACGTGAATAAATTACAGGGTAAGTTAGAAAAGAGTTGGGGAAATGCAGTGTAAAATATGGTACATGTGCAAAATACGTTATATTCATAAAATCAGTGTATTGTGGTCAAGAAAATTCCTTCTTTTGCGTCATCGTTAATACACTTTATGATTGATTTTCATACTGTTTCAAGGAAGGCATAGATATGCATATAAGTAAGATCTACATAAACAAGCTGCATTATAATGCTAATACACAATACTGTATGATACTGATAATCATGTGGATGTTTTTTCCCTACACAGACAGTCGTTGTGATAGACTGTTCACATTCCATACACTATTGCTGATCAATTGTTCGTCACATCCCGTGCCTTAATACGTGGTATATCCGTTTCCACTAGTCTGTTTGCATCGGGAAATGATCTATTATTATATTTGCAACTCAGCCATTTCATTTTACATATGATCGCACACAAACTTCCATGTATGCATCCCCAAACATATATAATAAACACATATATCTATAATGCCTACATACATACACACAAACGTACGTAAGTACATACCTACCCACCTACATATATACATAATGTATATTTACTTGCTAACATTCGTGTGC